TTTTTTTTTCTTTTGGAGACAGGTATAACTGTGCAATCAGCAGTTCTGATGACCGTAGTCTGTTTCGACGGCTGAAACTTAATTACGCAATTTTTGATGAGGGCCACATGCTGAAGAATATGGGCTCCATCCGCTACCAGCATCTTATGACAATTAATGTAAGAGAGTCTATCATAAATTTTCCCAAATTATGATAAAATTTTCGTTTATGTAATTTAATTTATGTAGTATGCTATTATCAGATATCAGAAAGTTTTTTTGGTAAATGGCCAGATAGTAAATACTTCATGCTTCGCTGGCCATATGACCTCTGTCACATATTTTGGTTTTTGGTTTTTGTTTTACCTGTTCTATGTGATGAACTTTATAAATATCAGATACAGTTTATCTTCTTTGATAACCTCGTAAAAAGTGCTGAGGACACAAATTACCTAGTTATAAAATAAGACCAGTAGTTTTCACATTCTACCTTACGTACAATATATGATAATAGCAGACCCCAATTATCTAAACTACTAGTCTTTCATCATAGAATGGTGAATTATTAATAATGGTTTTAATTTATTTCCCTTCCCTTCCTTTACTTCTCACTGGAGAAGGTGGATAAGAAAGGACTGGCTTAAAAAAAAACTAATCTAATTTTACTTTTGTTTACAGGCAAATAACCGTTTGCTGCTCACGGGCACGCCAGTGCAGAATAATCTGTTAGAGCTCATGTCGCTGTTGAATTTTGTCATGCCACACATGTTTAGTAGTAGCACCAGTGAAATACGGAGAATGTTTTCTTCTAAAACGGTAAGCATAAATGCATATTTTCTCCCAAATAAATGACTTTGCGTTTTATCTAGGCCAGTTTTCTGTTTCGTCTTTTTTTGTTGTTTTCATAGTGCATACGCTCTATGAAATAAGTTTAAGTAGGTGATATCCCTAGATTTGGATCAGTTCAGAAATCAGCCAAAATACAATGTAGAAAAAAATTAGTGAATTCCATAATCAATGTCCAAAAGTTTTGGTTTTTAACATCCTAATTTCCTGAAGAATGATAATTTTAAATTGATGGCAAACTCAGATATGTAATGTGTGGGCAAAGTTTGATCATTGCATCTTCTTTATCAAAATTGGGCAGATAAATTGGTAGCATTTCTTTATGGATAAACCATAAAACTAAACAAAGCTAGAATATCCAGAAAATGCCTATACTGGGAAATATGTTTTTAAGTAAAAGTCCATAGATACAAAAGTAACAATTTCTGAAATCTACAGTAAATAAATCCTCTTTAGAAGAAAAGTTTGGTTAATTTTCTCCTTTACTGCTTAGGAAAAGTAAGGTATAGTCTTCAGGAACTCCCAAATTTTCCATTTTAGCAATGTTTGTGTAGATTCTTGGCTCTCTCCCAAATCACACACATCTTTTGCAGGAATTTTCTATAATATTCTTCCACTGTAAATTAACTGCCTTTTAACATTTATCAATGAACTCCCTCTCCCTTAATATACAGTTCTTGAAATGGCCTTGCAGATTTTATGAACTACTTTTCTAGCTTTAGTTCATAGATATGGAGGACTGTTTCACATCTTAGAATAAAATTCTACTTTTTAAGTCTCTAAAACCACCAGTTTTGACTGGACACTGTCCTCCATTTTCACACCACATGATTTGCATCAGCCTCCACTAGCTTTCTTTTGGGGCCATTTTCCACAAAGAAATACAAATTTTCTATCCTCCTTCTACCCCACCATGTTACACAGTTTTACACACATTTTTATTTTGTGGGACTTACCTAGGTAATCAGTTAATGACTTATCAGTTGATGACATCTGAACACCAACCTAATATAAATTCATCGCCTTAGCAGAGTACATGATTACATATCATAAAACTTCAAAATACGTACGGAGCTTCAAAAAGTAGATGGCAGTGTAGAATTCGAATGTGAAATTCCATCTAGAACGAATTGAGTTTCTATGGAAAGTAACTCAGATTGTAGTGAGGGATATTTTGATGTCATGTAATACTGTCACTGTGATAATTTCAATGAGTAATAATCTAAAAGAAAATGTTTTTATTTTGTGTAGAAGTCAGCAGATGAGCAAAGTATATACGAAAAAGAGAGAATAGCACATGCAAAACAAATTATCAAGCCATTTATTCTCAGAAGAGTAAAAGAAGAGGTAACTCTTCTCTGCATATTTTTGGTTATGATGATTTCTAAAAATTCTGATTTCTTCTTTATTAGAATGATCATCTTAAACTGTTTTCCTTTCTCAGGTTCTCAAACAGCTACCCCCCAAGAAAGATCGAATTGAGCTGTGTACAATGTCAGAGCAGCAGGAGCAACTCTATTTGGGTCTTTTCAACAGATTGAAAAAATCTATCAATAACATGGGTATAATCTGATTTGCACAATTTTATGTGAAAAATAACCTTGTACTGGGGCTGCATTTTGTTTAGTCATGTAATGGGATTTGTTCATTCGTAAGAAATTAGTTGGGATTTGAAGAAATAATTTTAAAACTTTAAGTTGAGATATATTTCAACAAACAGCTATCAGCTTGATTTTTTTTTTTTTTAATGTGTACTCTTTGGATCACAGAAAAAAACACAGAAATGTGTAACGTCATGATGCAGCTGAGAAAAATGGCCAATCATCCTTTATTACATCGCCAATACTACACAGCTGAAAAACTCAAGGAAATGTCTCAGCTTATGCTAAAGGTAAGGATTTCGTATTATGCTAACACTGAGCTTCATACACCGTTAAACAGTTAGAAGGTTAATTTGTTAGGCAGAAAATCAGACCACTGAACCAAATGGGCATATTAATCCTTTAACAACATGTAAGACCAAGTTCAAGCTCACTTGGGGGACAGAAGAGCCAAGGATTGATAATCTAGATCAAGGGTCAGCAAACCATGGCCTTTGTGCAGTGACTTTATAAAGTTTTACAGTCATGCCCGTTTGTTTGTGTTATCTCTGACTACTTACTTTCTCGCTATGGGGGCAGAGTTGAGTAGTTGTAACAGAGCTCATCTTGCCTACAAAGCCTAAAATATTTACTGTCTGGCCCCTTATAGGAAAAGTTTGCCAATTCCTGATCTAGACATCCATAATATACTCCCTATTTTTTTTTTTAATTAAAAAAAACCCTCAGATTTTGTATTCTGTTTAGTGAGTCATTTTTC